TAACAGGTGGAAGAAGATCGGTATAAAGAAATGTTGGACCGCAGTGACAGCGAGAACATCGCCAGCAGCTACTTCAGGTCCAAGAGAACCAGCCAGCTGTTGGGCGGAGACACTACCAAGGGACATGGTAAGACTGGAACCAAGACCTGGGGCCTCATTCATCCAACATATGTAACAAAGTTAGAAATATATAAAAGAAAAATTAGAAATATATGAAAGAGTGAAACCTAAATATTAAATGTTCCAAGTGTTAAATCTAAATCTAAACATTGATATAAATGTTAAACCTAAATGCTAAATCTAAATATTAGATTTAAATGCTAAATGTAAATGCTAAAATATATTGACGCTTCATTTAAATATTTTGGGTGAGACTAAATATTTAGTTTATATGCAAATTCACACTGTCGGTAACCGGAAGTACCAAAATAAAAGCTTGCGGGGGTCAGGCTGGAAAACAAATTGAAGCTAATTTTTCTCTAATGCTCAGTGTTTTCTCCGTAGCTCTCCACTCTGCCCAGCTGGTCAACGGTGCAGCTCACCTGTCACTAAGCAGTTCTGCTGTCAACACACCCGTCACGTCTGACCCTGTGATGCCACGCCCCTTCCGTCTGGAATCCCTGGGTGTCCCTGTGTCCAGTGGTAAGGTCAAGCGCAAAAAGAGCAAAAATCACAGCGAGGGAATGTAAAGAGACGGTTCGTCCCCACGTCGCATACGGTAGAAGATGTGGTTAGTGATCTTGCCTTACACCAAGGAGGTTGTTGGTTAAACCCTCTTTGTCTGGAGTTCTCTTCTTCTCCTCATGTGTGGGTGGATTCTCTCCAGTTACTGTGGTTCCTTCACACATTTCAAAAACACTTACTATTCTGGTCTTTGGACACCACCATTTTCACTGTTGGAAAGTTTGATTTTTTTTTTTTTATTATTTAAATGTTTTTAACAAAACTTCTATGCACGTTACCATCTTCAACTAATTGTACAGAAAATATCTAAAATAATTTTCACATTTTATTTTTTACTTTAACTCTATTTGATTACTTTGAGATCACTGGCTGCTAATGTAATAGTTTCCCTGAATATAAAAAAGCGTTTCAGTGTACTGTAATACTACCCTGGTTGATACAGTAACATGTGTATAGTGACACAGTGAGTGACTCGGTCACAAATGGGTCAGTAGACTGTTGTCAAGGCTACAGCGTTGACACCTACTGTAGTAGACAGTTATCTCATGTTACATGAGGGTCAGAGCTGCAGGGTTCAACACAGTGGAATTTGGTGTCTTCTTGATGAACTCTAATGAAGTAACTTTATAATTACACAGGAGCCAAATAAAAAACAACGGTTGAATGAATACTCTTTAAACTTTATTTTCTCATTAAAGTAACCATGAAGTACTTTTTTAACTGTAAATCAATAAACTCAGAGCTCTGCAATTTTTGTTTTTGTCCAAAGGTAAAATGTCTCACATTTTCCAATACTCACTTGAAGATTTTACATTAATTTTCAACATTATTTTAAAGGCACAGACACAGGTCAGTTCCATAGTTCAAAACCTGATAATAATAATGATTTAAGTAGGTACAGTAAAACCGATGACAGCATTATAAAGCCGATGTCAGATAAAACTGAAACTTATTTGTCAGATAAACTTAGAAAATCCTTTCAATTATGGCTGTGGGCTTTGATTTGGTCCAAAAAAAACGAACAATTGCTGATTCTTATAAACTAGAAAAGTCATCAAACCACATCCAGAGAGGAGCTGGAAGTAAAATATCAAGATGTGGGAAAAATAAATAAAATAAACAATCTCAAAGAAAGAATTATGAAAGACATATTTAAAAAATCTGATAACAAAAAAGAGCTAATAGATGGTCTTGAAAAAGATGAGAAATAATCCAGTATTTACATGCTGGAAAAATAGAAATATTTTGGGGGAAAAAAATGGTTGTTGTTCCGTATTTAAGCACATTGACCTGAAGTGTCATTGGGGGTTACAGTACTAATCAATCCAGGCCTGTTAGGTGACATGATACCTGTTCATCCTAGTGAAGCATTGGATGGAATCAAGAGTCGTACCTGTGAGAGGTATCAAAATGGAATATCAGCTGAGTAGGCAGTTCTCTGAGTCCTGTGTAAGATGAGCAGTGAGACTGATAGTAATTCTGTAAGTGGAGGAAACTGAGATGATGTTGAAACGCTGTGTGTGTTCACAGAGACCAGAGCAGGAGCTGCCGCTGACTCTGCAGCTGCTTCAGAATCAACAGCCTCGTCATTAAAGAACACTCAGGATTTAAATATAATATCCAGATTTTAGGGGAAAAATAGACTTTTTTTAAAACTATAGTGCTAGTCCTTGGAAATAATCCCACTGAAGATGGTCGCATGACTCACTAATCAAACAGTATTAAACACAATCACATCCAATCAAAATAGAAGATGATTGGTGATTATTAAAGTAAAAAAATCACAAGACATAACTTTAAAAAATTTTTTTTTAAAACATACACTTTGGTAGAAGTAATAACCTTATTCTAAAAGCTGAACTTTGTGAGTCATTGTCAGGCACACGGTTGGGCAGGGCCGGAGTGGGCCCCTTCTTCAGCCCGGGAGTTTCATCCAGGCTACGACCGATGAGATCCAAGCTCTGTACAACAGCAGTGGACCAGAGAAGCCCATCTCTCTCAGAACCACCCGGAGGACGTTGAAGCGACTGGGCTACAGACGTAATAGGCAGCATCCTCGTCAGCCACAGACCAATACGGACTACGATCACTCTGGTCAAGTCAAGGTCAAATTCTTGGAGCTCATTTGCAAGGACGAGACCGGAAAGGAAACGCAGGGACAACATTTAAGGTCTACATCAAATTTTCATAATAGCCTTTGTTATTTATCTTATCCTCATTTCTACAGCCGTTTCCCATGGCAAAGACGAGGAACTTAAAGCTATCTCAGAATTAATCAAATCAGTTATTTTATATTTCAATGTACCGTTTGTTTGGTTTGGGGTATACAGTAATTCATGTACTAGTACACTATCTTTATTATGTAAGATATTTCGCAGTAGAAAGTATCAGGTTTGCTCTCCTTAGTTTGGATCAAGTTTGCCAGCCTGGAAAGTACTGGCTGGAAAGTACTAGCGCCTCGTTATCCAATCACAAGCGGCATCTACAATCCTCCAGGTGACAGTGCAGGCTCGTTAGTTTGTCAATGAGTAGATACACACGATCACTGCGCCCTATTGTCGGTGTAGCTAACAGAAAATCCCTGCAATTTATACTGAATTATGCTGGAAATACTGATCACATCGACCTAGAATAACGCTGTGTGAAGGCACAAAGAAAATGTTTGCTATTATTACGACGGTACGTATTTCCATCTATGGTTCTCTTCACTTTGGCTGTTAACGCGTCATGTGAAGGACCAGTATTCCGCAGAGCTTGCGGACAGTTTGTTTTAAACCGTCTCCACTCTGCTGAATCGCCGGGTGAGGCAGCAGGTTAGCGTGCTAAACAGTAGCCTGTTTGAGCCGCAAGGTTTGCACATTCAAACTAATGCTGATTGCACGAATCGCTTCAGTCAGCGTGTTATTCAGTTGTACGAGATTGTGCGCTTTGTTATTTGGCCTCTAAGTATCTGCACGAAGTCTGTTTGGTTTGACTGGTCCAAACATTTTGTGTGTTGCAACTTTAGCCACGTGTTAGTGAAGGCTTGTTCTGTGGGGAACGTTTGCTTCAAAGCGGTCCTTGCACTTTGTAGTGAATTGTAACGATGACACGTCCATGAAGAATACGGCACATTTTTATCGAGGGTACGAATTTACCCTCATTCATTATTTAAGCGTGTGTGCGCGCACTCGTGCAGGTATGAAATTGATTAAATAAATCCCTCCAGGTGTAGCAGCAGACGCATATCGCCATCAACTGGGCCGGTGGACTCCACGACGCCAAGAAGTTCGAAGCATCTGGATTCTGTTACGTGAACGACATCGTCCTGGCCATTTTAAGCTGCTCAAGTAAGAAAAACATTCCAAGATTGTCAGCGGAAATGAAAGTTTTGGACAGCATTTACAGTGTTGTGAAATGTTTACAGGACATCGGGGCTGGAAAGAGCAAATACTACGCAGTGAATTACCCACGAAGCCATCTTTAAACCGGTAAGTCTGGTTTACTGTGAGTGCTATTTAGTTTTATTTTATTTTTTAATGTGCGTCTTTAAGAGTGTAGTGTTTTTTTTTTTTGTTTAGTTTGAGTGCACACCCGGCGACATGTGCTTTGAGGAGGTTGAAGGAATGCTGCCAACCAAGGGAAAAAAGGAAGCAGAAGAGAGGTAACCTGTGGCTTGTTGACTAGAATCAGAACTAGTAGTGTTATTGCATTTACTCTATTTGTCTTTGCAGAAGTGAAAGAAGAGAAGGAGGAAAATGGAGATATCAGGGTGAGGACAAAGTATCTGTATTTATCACTTGAATTGTTGAATGTGAAATCCTTTAGAGTACCAAGTAGTGGCACAAAGCAAATGAGTGGTTTGCTTAAGTAGATGGTAGTGGCTAATTGTTTTGTAACATGCTAGTGCTAAACACTTTGAACATGATGTAGTCAACCAAGTGCATTTGTATGGAATGTTGTCTTTATTTCATCTTGTGTTTCAGGCCAAAAGAAGAGATTAAACCAAGTCGTTCCACTCCTGATGATGGGCCATTGTTCAATCCTGTGAGCACATGTGGTTGACAGAAGTAGTGTTGTGAGTATGTAGTCTGACATGTATTGTTTTAAATGTGTATCTATGGCCTTTGTGATTGAATGCATGCAAGTGTTTTGCTATTAAAAGAGAAATTGTTGTGCTGTTGGTTATTCTGGTTGGGTTTAACTTTTACCCCTTGTCTTTACCTACACTATACCTTTGACTTTGACAATGCAAGCCCTAAAATGTAATGAGAAACCCCATTAATATTTTCTATTATTTGCTCAATTTCTGGAAATAAATGCAGAGCACACAATATTCCAACAACTTTCTTTATTCTGGAAGGTTTACAACAGTCAAATACAGCTCACAATGAAAGTGACAATAGCATTAAGGCACAATTAATTTTTACATAAAAAAAAAAGTAAAACTTTTTTTTTTCTCTCTTTACCTTGAGAGGCTTCTTCAGGTGCTTATTCTGGAAGGTTTAAAACAGTTAAGTTTAATACTGATCACAATAAAAGTACAATGCCCCCTCCCCCCCCCAAAAAAAGTAAAGTTGTTTTTTCCCTCTGAAAAAGTCACTGTTGCAAAAAAAGTAAGTGTTAAGTATCTGTCAAAAGTGCAAAGGCTGAAAAGTTTAAGTAAAATACTCACAAGTCCAGCAAACAAGTGATCTGCTTCAAATAAAGTTTCTCCTTCACTCTACCTGGCAGAGTCCAAGCTGCTGTCTTCTCCTCCATAGCTATCTGTTAAGACAATGATAAAAGCATACAAGGAACAATCAAAAGCTGTCTGTTCTCAGTCATTTAATCTAAAAATAGTTACATCGAGGGCAACTGGCCAAAGTGTGTTTTATTTAAGACACTTCGCCTCTCCTCAACTGAAGAAGCCTCTTCAAAAAAGCCTATTACATCCAGTTGCTCTCAATGTAACTATTTTTGGAACAATCAAAAGCTGTGTTGGTCTCATTTACCTCTTGTCGTCAGAGTGGAAAGCCACACAGTTGATGGGACCAAAATGACCTTTGACTTCTGTCAAACTCCTCTTTGTACACAGCGTGGAAGAACCTGCAGATTAGAAGAACACGTCATGTGTTAACACAAACACAGGTTTTCCTTAAAAGCAGCTACAAAGTATTCACTTCCACAGCACCACCAACAACTACAAGTTTACACATTACTATGACTGCTCACTATCAACAGTAATACAAAGTTGTGGCTTCTTCAGTGCTAATGCAAATGGCGCAAGGTACATTCTCATCATCTGTTTCTTTTGTTCAGATGAAGTCAACAGTCACTGGATGCTTTATTCAACCACACAACAATACTTTGGAAACACCACTTTAACTTACCCGGCTTCAAACTTGCCAATGCTGGTGGAAGCTGTGGTCACGCCCATGGTCTCCTGCTCACCTCCCATAAGCACCTACAACACACACAATTGCAAGGTTATTGTTGATCTACTAGGATACACATTGCACAGGATATGTCATTTACACACTACGTGCAGCGATTATCAACTGACAGTCCATGTCTTGGATTCCACAACAAACATTAAATAATTTGTCACTCCTAAAGAGAATCTTAGCATCTTTAACTCTGCCACCTCCAGCTCCTCCTCCTGTCTTCTGCCTATTGCTACTGTCTCTAAACCATACATCATGGCTGGTCTCACCACTGTCCTGTAAACCTTTCCCTTCACCTTAGCTGACACTCTTCTGCCACCGATCACTCCTGACACTTTTCTCCAGCTGTTCCATCCTGCCTGTACTCTATTCTTCACCTCTCTTCCACAGTCTCCGCTGCTCTGAACAGTTGATCCTAAGTACCTAAACTCCTGCACCTTCACCACCTCTGCTCCTTGTAGCCTCACTATTTCACTGTTCTGCCTTTCGTTTACACACATGTACTCTGTCTTGCTGCGACTGACCTTCATTCCTCTTCTTTCTAGTGCAAACCTCCACCTCTCTAGGTTCTCTTCTAGCTGCTGCCTACTCTCACTACAGATCACAATGTCATCTGCAAACATCATAGTCCATGGGGACTCCTGTCTGACCTCATCTGTCAATCTGTCCATCACCACAGCAAACAAGAAGGGGCTCAGGGCCGATCCTTGATGTAGTCCCACCTCCACTTTGAAGTCTTCTGTCCTCCCAACAGCGCACCTCACTACTGTTGTACTATTCTCATACATGTCCTGCACCAAACTAACATACTTCTCTGCCACTCCTGACTTCCTCATACAAAACCACAATTCCTCCCTTGGCACTTTGTCATATGCCTTTTCTAGATCTACAAATACACAATGCAGCTCCTTCTGACCTTCCCTGTACTTCTCCATCAACATCCTCAAGGCAAATATTGCATCTGTGGTACTCTTCCTAGGCATGAAACCATACTGTTGTTCACAAATCTCCACTTCCTGCCTCAACCTAGCTTCAACTACTCGTTCCCAAATCTTCATTGTATGGCTCATCAACTTTATCCCTCTGTAGTTGTTACAACTCTGTGCATCACCCTTCTTATGAATTGGCACCAGAACACTTTTTCTCCACTCATCAGGCATCTTGCCAGTCTCTAAAATTCTGTTAAACAAACCAGTCAGGAAATTTACTGCCACTTCTCCTAAACACTTCCATACTTCCACTGGTATGTCATCAGGACCAACTGACTTTCCACTCTTCATCCTCTTCAGGGCTTTTCTAACTTCATCCTTTCTAACCTGATCTACCTTCTTCCTACTAGTCTCTGGCTCCTCGTTTCTACTTTCCCTTTCATTTTCCTCATTTAACAACTCCTCAAAGTATTCCTTCCATCTTCTCAGCACACTTTCCTCACTTGTGATCACATTCCCCTCTCTGTCCTTAATCAACCTCACCTGCTGCACATCCTTCCCAGCTTGATTTCTCTGTCTCGCCAATCTATACAACTCCTTTTCTCCTTCCTTTGTTTCCAAACTCTCATACAACTCCTCATATGCCTTTTGTTTGGCCTTGGCCACTTCCCTCTTCACCTCCCTTGTCCTCTCTTTGTACTCCAGTCTGTTCTCTTCTGTTCTGTCACTGTCCCATCTCTTCTTCGCTAATCTCTTTCTCTGCACACTCTCCTGGATCTCCTCATTCCACCACCAGGTCTCTTTGTCCTCCTTTCTCTGCCCAGAGGACATACCTAGCACCTTCCTACCTGTCTCCCTCATCACTGCAGCTGTAGTCTCCCAATCATCTGGGAATATCTCAACACTACCCAGAACTGCCCTTACTTCCTTCCTGAAGTCTTCACAACATGTCTCTTTCCTTAGTTTCCACCACTTGATCTTCTGCTCTGTCTTCACTCTCTTCCTTTTTGTCACCTCCATCGTCATTTTACACACTACCATCCGATGTTGTTTGGCTACACTCTCACCTGCCACCACCTTACAGTCTCTAATCTCCCTCAGATTACATCTTCTACATAGAATATAATCTATCTGTGTGGACCTGCCTCCACTCTTGTAAGTCACCCTATGTTCCTCTTTCTTTTGGAAATATGTGTTTACCACAGCCATTTCCATTCTCTTTGCAAAATCTACCACTGCCTGTCCTTCTACGTTTCTCTCCCTAACACCAAACCTGCCTATCACTTCCTCATCTCCTCTGTTCCCTTCCCCTACATGACCATTTAGGTCTGCTCCAATCACCACTCTCTCTCTCCTGGGGATACTCTCTACCATCCAATCTAGCTCCTTCCAGAACTTCTCCTTTTCTTCCAACTCACAGCCCACCTGTGGGGCATAACCACTAACAACATTAATCATCTCTCCTTCTACTTCTACCTTCACACACATCAACCTGTCTGACTCTCTTTTCACCTCTACCACATTTCTTACATATTCTTCCTTTAGGATCACCCCTACTCCATTTCTCTTCCCATCTGAACCATGATAAAACAGTTTGTAGCCTCCTCCAATGTTTCTAGCCTTACTGCCCTTCCACCTGGTCTCCTGCACACACAAAATATCTACTCTTCTTCTCTCCATCACATCAGCTATTTCTCTACTTTTCCCTGTCATTGTACCTACATTCAAAGTTCCAAACTTCAGACTAACACTTCTATTCTTCATCTTTTCTCTTTTTCTCCTAACCAAACGCCCTCCTCTTCTTCTCTGTCTCTGACCAACAGTAGTCCAATTTCCATCAGTGCCCTGTTAGTCAACGGCACTGTTGGCGGTCATTGTTAACCCGGGCTCAACCGATCCGGTATGGAAATCGTTTTATTGATTTGCATATTTGATTAAGCTAAACATTTTATGCCGGATGCCCTTCCTGACGCAACCCTCACCATTTATCCGGGCTTGGGACCAGCACTATAAACACGGCTTCGTGTACCCTAGTGGCTGGCTTAAGCAATCTTTTATTCAAGCAGTAAAAACTAACACAAAACCATAACAGACAGTTCATTTCAAACTCTACCACGCATTTCTCCTAAGATGTACTTCAAATATTCTATTTCCATATAAACTTTATCTTTATTTTGTCATTGTACATAAGTGTACATAAGTACATAAGTCAGTGGATTCACATTACAAGGTCTGTAGTATGGACAGAAGACCAACACACCTAGACTGAAGGAAAATGTCATTGTAAATAAATTAACAAGTGGACACACTCAAAGTAACCACACCTACTACTGTGGTTTTTTTGCGTATGTTGTTATAACCCCCAGCAAATTGTCAATGTTTACTTCAGCTCACACATACTTGTATAACAAACTATCAACAAATATCTTCAAATACATTTATCATTCACATATTTCTGTTGTTCTACTTTGGAGGGGATCTTGAGCACAAATGACCAGAGGGTCACCTACCAATTCCCTACATATATAAACAATGACGAGTACAAGAGTTAAAAGAAAACCAATAACTCTTTTCTTTGTTGACGACTTCCGTTAGGCAACCGGACATTTTCACTTTTTCAACAGAGGAGGTGGGCTAAGACACAACCCACATACAGAAACCATTTTGATGAGGATTACATCAACAGATCAAACTCCTAACGACTGTTAACAGATGACCCCGACGGCCCACCCGACAGAAGGGACCTGAAGTAGTTTTGGTCACAACCACAGTATATATTTGATGTACTCCCCTTTACCAGTTAGAACTAAAGAAGCCTCTCAGACGAAATGTCTTCTTGAGAAAATTTCACGTCCAGTTGCCTAACAGAACTCTTTTACCGTGACCTGGATGACTGAAAATATTCATAGACAACTCTTTTCTTTATTTGCCTTCAAAAACTCAGGTTTAAGTTCTAAGGTTAAAAATAAAACTCTTCTCTGGGCGTTCTCCTTGATGGCCAGCCAGGTGTCATTCTGATGACTATTTATAACATTTTTCAACAACTGTTATTCACGTCAATCATTTACCTAAGAGTTCTCACCTTGGCGGTGTTGTCCATTGAGGCACCGATGTACATGGTGAGGTCTACAGACGTCTGTGTCGTTGATGTGCCAGCTGTGCTCCTTAGCGTGTTCTGATGGCACACATTAAAGAAGGGACACAGAGCAAAAATGAAACACCAAAATATAAAAAAATTAACAGGAAATTATCCAAAATACATTTAAACACTCATACATAATATGTCTGCTGGAACGGCCTATATAGCCAACTGTTTATTTAATTATTTCACCATTCAACTATTTACACTGTGCATATATTTCTTATATTATATATTTATTTTATATACTTGTTCACATAACATCCTTATAATTATACTAGATCTGCTTATATATGTATATATATATATATATCATACTGTAGGTATAATGTGGTATACTTTACATTATACCAATTTAATTTAGAATTATAGTATAACAAAAATATAATATATAACAATTGAGACTGCAATCAACAATGCTGTTGTTGTTGTTGTTTTGGAGCTGTATTGCTGCTGGAACTCCCGAGGGATTCACAAAGTTCTATCTATCTATCTAAACACATGCATTTTCTTTTCACCCACCGGTCTCGTGATCCCACAGTCGACAGCTGATTCTGTCAAGACATTTTTGGTGTCCCCTGAGAAGAGCCAGTTAGGGAACGTATCACGGCAGCAATTCATGAGCGTACACTAGGGTCATGATTACACATTTACTTGGTACAATAACTGTCAGACAATTGATCACAATATTACAATTATTATGCTTTTATTGGTCTTACAACACTGTGCTGTTGCATGATAACATAACCGTCATTCAATTGTTTATTGCGTTTATTGTTTGAGTTCACCTTCACTTTGGTTATATTTTCTGACACTACGTACAAATGTTCATATCACATATTATTCGTGATATCAACTTATGACATCCGCGTTGAGGACAGGGCAGCATACCGAGCTAAATAACATCAAAGGATACAGTCACAGTCTTCACACCGTACAGCTCCCGTGTGTCTGTTGTAGGTACTGTGTACCATACGTTGGCCACCTGTGTGTGGAGACATTGTTGAAGGCAATGTTAAAAGGCTTCAATGCAATCATGACTTCACTTTACAGACTAATGGTTTGCTCTACACTACTGGCACCACCAATAACCTCTGGAAGAAATCCTTTTTGCACGACTTTTCTTTTAATCTGAATAAAAATAAATCAATTCTACTGGCCCTAATCGTGTCCCCTTTTCATGATTACAGTATGATTTTCATATCACACACACTATAGAGCATATAGCCTTATGTTTGTAAGACAATTGGAAGTCAAAATTAGCAGAGGATTACTCTGCTACTCGATTAGCAGAATCGTGTTGCCATTTGTAGCTTCACGTGGACATTCCATATTCTTGACGTCAAACTAATTACTATGCTATAGTCATTGGTGGCACCTGTTAAGAGCAATAATTTCTTGTCACTCACTGGATCTTTACCGACGGAAAACAGAAAGTCTTTTTCTCTGTTATACTCTGAGTGATGGGCCGTTCGTGGCCCTGCAGTAGAATGGGTTTCTGTACAGAAAGGCAATATTTGCAAGTTCATTTCATATTTTCAAAAACGTGCATCAACCAAGCTTAAATTATTCTTCTTCTTCTCTTCTCAAAGGCCAATTTATTATTCAGAACGACAACTCTATATTCATTATTTATGACAAAAAACTAACATTTTAACTTATGACAAAAGCTAACTTTAGCTGCCGAGACACATATGCTAGCGTAAATTGCACTAACGTTCTTGACCGAATGACTCAAACAAAATACATGATACATTAAACCCACTCATCAATCAATCAGATGTAGTCACCGTGCTCAGTCTTTTGACTTCTACGCCCGCTGGAAGCCCAAACGTCTAATACTCGTGTCTCATGAGCCGGATGCGCAACCGGAAATAAGGACCGTAAAACCTATTCCTACTTCCGTTATACAAAACGTTCCAATATCAGCGCGCCCCCACAATTGATAACTGACATTCACATTCACATTCTTTTTTTTTGACATGGTTTTGTCTCTTTTTCTGTGATAGGCAGCGCTGCAGAAGTAGAGAATATGACCTGTTTTTTTCTTCCTATAACAAACTTCTGTACTGCATAATTATGTGATTATTAATCACATAATAGGAATGTTTTGGGTGATTTTTGAAAT